TACTGTATAGCGTAGCGACCATAGAGTCAGCACCCTGCCCTGAGTTATTGCTCACTCTCTGAACTTAGTGGCCTAGAACAATATCTAACTATAGTGTGGACTGTTTTTAAATTCACACACTCTCTCGCTCTGTTATTCACTGTCTCTCACTTTCACCCCGTTTGCCACCTGCCGACTCGTGCACTCTCAGCCACTAACTTCAGGCAATTAAGAAAATAAACAGAATGTCCTCGGGTCCCCAGGGTCCATTAATCTTTCTTTTTTCCTATTACACCATGCTGTAGCTGGCCTGGCAAGGTGCCTGGCCATCAACAATGGGTAACCAGTAGACACCCACAACTATGCAGCCTCCACTTCACTGGGCGAAATGTAAAATGTGTCAGCAGCAATTTTGGTCATATTTACCACAGCTATATGACATGTTGAGATTAAATAGTGATGTGTGGTTATAGGCTTGCCATGGTAACAATAGAGCCCCTTTGGGAGAGTTGGGTCTGTGTGTAGATGTTATTTATAGTGTGTAAAAGTCAAGGAAAATAATCTCATATATCATTTTTCACCTCCAATTAACTATAAAGGCATTTGTGTTTCATTCAGTGAGCCGCGGCTGGAATGTGAGAGCGTAGCGAGAACTGTGGGTCACGAGTGGATGTCAAGGCCATTTTTTGATATAATAGCTCAAATAAACTTTAATGGGTGGGAGTTCTCGTACTGCCGACACCTTCATGTCAACACGGTGGCCTAAATCAGAGCAGGAATATGATCATCATAGTCAAAACAGTTGAGATACCTTTGATGTGAAATGTAAAAAGTTCAAGACGGCAGCACTCTGTGTTCTTTCACTCGGTGGCACATACTGGTGTTGAACCTTTACAAAGACATATTGGGAATGTTGCCTATTCGCATCATAGTATATAGTGAGGGTAAAATTTAAAGTATTAGTGTGACATTTTGGGAAAAATTGTTTATTTGCTCTCTTGGTGAGAGTTACATGAAAAGATTGATACGACTTGTGTCTGTCCGTTAAACATAAGGCAGCCAGCAGCCTGTTAGCTTCCCTACCATCACCTCCAAAGCTCACAAAATATCTCATATGTTGTTTGTTAAATTGTACAAAAAACTGAAGTGTTAAAATGCCAATTTGCTTGTGAGTGCTATCCATTTCCGGGAAATAGTTCTGACCTCCTTAAATTGGCAAATTATCCTATTTACATTTTGGTTTTTGTGCGGATTAAACATACAAGACAAAACATAGGCTAGCTGTTTTCCAGAGATAATCAGCTAACTTCATATTTAGCATAAATAGACATAAATGAGCTAAAGCTAGTAGCCCTTTAGCTTAGCTTAACATAAAGACTGGAAACAGGGTAGTATGACTGTCTGTAAGTAAATTCACATATAAGCATTTAGCTTGATATTATAGAGTGCAATCCATCTAACTCTTATAAGTGTATCTCAAAGTATTCCTTAACCCTTTGGTTATCAAGAGAAACTTAGTTTTTCTACACACACAGGGAGATATAATACATTTTGGTCCCATCGCACAATTTAAAAAGCAATCAGGCATCTATAGACCGCTGACCCTTTGGATTTGTATGTTATTTTTTTCCAAGTTCTCTCTCTGCAAGTAGGTCACGGCCAAAGGGTAAGACATTTTAAGTTCTTCAAAGAGAAAATATGTTGAGTTTTTACACACAAGGGTTAAAGATCGCCTCTTGACAGCCTTGAGGTCAATGTAGCATCATCTATCTCTGTGAGGGAGTCTCTTACAAGTATATTGCTTTTCCATTGAATGTGTCTACTCCCTGCGGACAGAATAATGTGTGTGTGTGTGTGTGTGTGTGTGTGTGTGTGTGTGTGTGTGTGTGTGTGTGTGTGTGTGCCTGTGTGTTTAAGAGTGGAATTTCAATGGTTGTCAGGGGAACAGCAGGACAATCTCCTGACACAAGTTCCCTCAAAAGTACCGACACACACACATCTACACACAGAGGAGTTCATAAACACCTCGGCCTGTAACATATATATCTAACTTCAGACGCTGACTGTGCATGGTAGGATCATTTTCACCCACTTTTAACACATAGACATTCAAGAAGACCTGGTTTTATGAAAAAGCTGTGACTATCTGGAATAGTGTTATATACCGTACCATAGTGCCGCTCTGGGCGCCTCCTCTGCCTGTTTCCATGCCGTAACCTCTTCCTTTCCTCTTCCCACTCTTCCTGTTGTCCAGATGAAAGGCAAAAGGGGGGAATGATCAAAGAGAAATACTGTACGTATGAAGACTGTCTCCGTTTGGTTTCATGGAATTGTGACTATATTAGACGAGAGGAGAGGACTTGCCAAAGAGCTGTCAATCCATGAGGCCAGCAGGTTGCTACTTTGGGAACAGACACACTCGAATACAGTCCGTTGTGGGAATAGATGCATGATTTATATACACTGTCTCCATTACGCGAGGCTACAGCACCCACGAGAGCCACTATTTATCCAATGTAATAAATTGGATTAATTATATTTGCCTAAAATGTTCTCACTCTCAAGCATCGTTTCCATCATTAAGGGGGAACTCTGACTCATATCTGACCATCGGTGTAAAACCAACATCTGTCATCTGAACCAGCGGTGATGTGACACCTGAGCTGTCGCGTCTATATTTTTACAGTTTAAGCAAAACGCTAACTTTGTGTTCTCTTAACCCTGAGTCTATTTTCATAATATTTCATCTTTTCGTAGATGTCTTAATAGATTTATGCCATTAGGTATTCTAAGAGTGGGTCAGTTTGTTCTAGAGAGACAGCCTTAGGTGTGAAGGAAACTTCTGCCTGCCAAAGCAGTGCAGTCGACCGGAACTTACTGGGCCATTTATATTCAACCAATTTGGCTTTTCCCTAGCAGAGGTGAACAAACTCTCCTAAATGCCTCTTAAATTATATCCTAATGACATTTTCTCACTAAGCTTCCTAGTATGACTTTGTTGGCTTTCCTTTAACATATCATATTTATCATCTTAAATGTGGTGCTAAACTGTTTACCTCATGTAAGTCTACCTGTCTATAAAAGGTTACATAAGTTTACCCATAATATAAATACAGATGTAATGATGATTCTGGTCAAAGACCTATTTTAGAATACACTACAGACTTTTCCAGGGGATCCTGTAACGTACATTTTAATTAATATAGCCCATAACCACAGATCACAACCTATATTGTTAGACTCTAGGTTCCAATAGGAAAAACGTGGCTTTAACAGCAAAAAGCTAATAAATTATATTCTAGTGGCACCACAACTGATTGAATGTTAGGTATTGTATTGTTTTTGGATGTTGGCACAGTCTATGAAACTATATAGACCATCTAACTATAAATGCCTGTATTTCTGCATTGGCATTTACAAAATTGCAGCTTAGATTTACCGGATATGTTCAAATCACTGGAAATCATCATCAGCTATTTCCATTGATGGTCATTATGAGCTAAACCTGTGTAATCTCCATTTCCAGCATGCAGCACCAAGAATACTGATGCTAATAGGATTTTAATAGGATTTAGAGCTCAACATTTAAGTATTGGTAGGTTTTCTACAGTGAAAGCTTTGACCTCTTAACCTTCTGGACATTTTCCCAGAGAAGTGAGTGACAATGCTGCAACTATCAATACTGTTGTTCATATAGATCATTAGTGACGTCTAGAACTTCTTCAACAAAGACAAAGAGGATGTTTAGGGAGGATTTAATAAGATTTAAAGACTGGGCAGAGCTGAGGCGCATTCGGGGGGAACTCAAGGTCCAGCTGTGAGAGGCAAAGGAGCCATACAGAAGGAAGGTGGAGCAGAAGTTGCTGGTCTGGATTCAACACAGTCCTCTTAGCGAGAGACAAGCTGACAGTGGTCTCATACCTGGTGACCTGGATCATGTGCTACCTCATTGGGAGATGGTTGTGGGCTGAGGGACTGCTTCTCTACTGTGATCTGTGGCACACTACAGTCTTATTCAACCTTTACACTTCCAATTTCCAGTTCAACTCTGATTCTTGCCACATGCAGAAGGTCTCAGATGACACTGCGATTGTTGGGTGAATTAAGCGTGGACAGGAGGGCAAGTACAGGAACCTAGTGGACTTTGTGACGTGGCGCAGGTCGAACCATCTGCAACAACCAAATAGAAGGTGGTGGACTTCCAGAGGACCAGGCTGATCTCCATTGAGGGGGGGGCCTATAAGTACCAGAGGCTGCAGCTGAACAGTAGACTGGAGAGTGGGGTACTGCTGATGTTTTATCAGTCAGTTGTTGCCAGCGCTCTCTTCCATGCTGTGGTGGCGGCTTTAAAAAGAGGGACAATCTGTGGCTGGACAAGCTGGTGACGAGAGCTGGCTCTGTGGTGGTCACATTGTTGGATTCTCTTATCTACATAAATAACCTGATGTTCATCATAAACAATGCCACCCCTGCACAGCACATTCACCAGGCAGAGGAGTACGCTCAGTGTCTCAGTCCTGCTCAACAGACCCCAGGCCATACAGATATTCAACCCCTCCCCATTATTTAAATGTTCATTCTGTCATTAGGCTGTGTCAGCAATATTCACAATTTGCATTTATATTTGTTTATCATTTGTATCTTACTTTACATTTATATGTAATATTATCACTATGTGTATGTTTAATGCAAGTTACTTGGTTGACTTAGTCTTATCTGCATTTGTGTTTGTTCATATATTTATCTTTAATCTGTATTTTATAGTACACATAGCAATTATTATATCTCTCTATGTTATCTTATCTTGCCCTATTTTCATGTTTTAATTACTTTTTAACATTTCCTAACAAATGTACACATGCATACTTGCATACCCCATTATAGGAATAATGTACTTCTTTAGTTTTAGTAAGATATAGTAAATGCATTATCGCCCCTCCAGTAAAGTCGCTTTCACCAAATAGGCTTCCATACTTCTTCAAAGACTGACACTTAAAGTCGGACGGAGAGAGTGCCTGCGGGCTGCCACAGATCTACACAACGTCCCGTTTGCATGCCCAGCTGCACTGGCAGGAATCCCCCATTTGCAAGCGTCCCATCCACACAGTCCACATTCCTTTAAACGGAGGCTGTCGGAGGGGCGTACACCAAGAGTCGCTCTTTTCGCACCAGCAGGGACACTGTTCACCCACCGAGAGAGAGCTTCACCATGGCCTCAGCACTGAATTGCACACCTTTTATGTTGTGTTTTATTTATTTGTCGTTACTGTTTGCAAGCGGGTTGTGCGACGCCGATGCAGAAGAAGATGAGCATGCCAAGCACTCGTACACTGTGGAGATGTTCAACGAGGCGGTGCCCACTGCACCCCACTTTGTCATGTTTTTCGCCCCATGGTAAGTGAACAGTTAGTTGGCAAGTTTTTCCAAACGACGTTGAATAAATGGTTTGGTGATAGCCCTTCTCTTTTCCTTTCACCCCCTGTTTGCCCCGAAAATAGAGGGCAGAAAGTGTCTGATAGAGTGGGAGCTGCGCTAACCGGCAAGTTAGCACACAAGCTAGCTAGCAGGCGAGCTAGTTGGCTACCTAGCCCCTTCCCTTTGGTCAGCCGGTGTGGTTAGCTTAGCATAACCAGCTAGCCGACTGCAGTTTAGTGGATTGGAGCACTTTTCTCAAGGGCCTCGGTGCTAACAAGGCTAGTAGTTCACTAGCTGTTTGAATTTAATTAAAAACGTTGTGCTGAGCGTTGAACGGAGGGCTTTAACCATTGGATGCAGTTCGTAAACGCCGTGCTTATTCACAGTAAGTGCAGATAAAGTCAATCCCAGTTCAAAGCTGCACTTTGTGGAGCTGCGCTTACGTGGCACGCACTGATTGACTGATGTTATGTCAGCGGTTCCAAAATAGGGTCCACGGACCCTCAAGGGTCCCTGAGGAGGTGGTGGGGGGGTCTGCTTAATGCGAAACAAAAGTTGTTCAATACAATAAAAGTAGCTCAAGTCGATCATCGTCCAATTTGATACAGATAACGAGAGGTAGAGAGATAAAGACAGTGTGTCTGGAGATAAGGACGACGGCTGCACACTAACATGTCGGTTATCTTCCACTGGGATCTGTAGGACCAAACCTTTGTCTGATACCCTTAACATGGTCTGTGCAACTTTAGAGTTGCATGCAGTGTCTTTCTGTCTTCTCTACTTTTGGCCTAAATATCCTGTTACTGCAACAAAGCAGTGTTATCAACAGGTTTCAACTCAAATGTCTGACTTTGACACTGAGACTGTTGTTAGCTTTTGCACTGACATGGATTCACATTGTTTGCCTGTATTCATTAGGGGACCGTAATCTCAATAAGGACCACTCTTTGTGGCTTTCTGGGACAGCAAACACCATTAATCTTATTATTATTATTATTATTATTATTATTTATTATAACTCATTCTGAGGAGAGTGGAGAAATCAAATGTTTCAGTTGTCGGCCTCCACCCGCAAGAATATAACACCTTAGATACGCCACTATAAACCTCTCTATCATCTTCATCACGTGGGTTATAAAAGCACGTTATGCCACATTTGCTTTGAAAGTGTGGTCAAAGCATTAAATGTGTAAAAGCTTGAAGAATAACATGTGTTGTACATTAATGGTATTTATTGTTTCCAGGTGTGGCCACTGCCAGAGGTTACAGCCCGCATGGAATGAACTAGCAGACAAATACAACAGCATGGATGAGCCCCCGGTATATGTGGTAAAAGTAGACTGCGTCCAGGACACCAAGTTCTGCTCCAATGTCCATGGAGTTAGGGGATACCCCACGTAAGTCATTCTCAAATTTGCCAATTCATATTAAGCTGTTGACATGCCCAGATAGTTCACATTTTTAGATCAATAACTGAAACAAATTGTTTGATAACATAATGCACTGGATGTTGCATTTGAATAAAAAACAACTCTTACAAGATAGAAGTAAATATTTCCATCACTGATTGACAGAGAAGAGACACATTGACCTGCATGTAGTTGAATATTGTGCCAGTGTATCTTAATGACGTCCTTTTAAAGCTTGGATGTTGCTGACTGCATACTGTACCTGCAAACACAGCAGTCACTGGATAATGATTGACAGAACTTTTATAACAATAATATAATAAATCACGGAGTCCCTGAGCTTGCAATGATGATCAATTTGGACTAGTAAGAAAATAGTGTGTGCACTCATGGGACATTAAGTTACAGTATACTGTCTTGTGTAAGCTTTAGAGTTGAATTGTCACTCTGCCTTGCTACAATTAATTCCATTCAAAACTTCTTGTTTTTGTGTAGGCTGAAGTTGTTTAAGCCAGACCAGGAGGCAGTTAAGTACCAGGGGCCCAGAGATCTGCAGTCTCTGGAGACCTGGATGCTAAAGACACTCCAGGAGGAGCCTACAGTGAGTTGTGTTCACTCAGTTAACGCCTAAAGGCAATAAACCAGTGGACCCTTACAGTGCAAGAACGCTGGTGTTCATAAACGCTTGTTCTTGTGTGTTCTTCAGGAACCAGAGACTGAACTGGAGCCTCCTAAAGCCCCAGAGCCCAAACAGGGCATGTATGAGCTCACCGCTCTCAACTTTAAGGCTCACGTAGCCAAAGGTAAAGATCTCCTAGAACATTTATAATTCTTCATGAAAGTGCTGTTTAACCTGTACGAATCAAACGGATAACTTCATCTTGTGTATTTGAGCAGCTGCATCCTGCAACAGATAAATAGTTTCTGTTAATTTCAGTTGTGCTTTCAGTTTTCAACCACACTAAATAGTGTTTCCGGATCCCTCGTTAGAGAATGGAAACGCTTCATTGCCTTGATTGACATAACTGACATTTCAACGCTAGTACCTGAGCCACAGTCCACAGCTCAACTCAAACCAACTGTACAACACTTGTCTCCTGTCACCTCACTTTTCTGGATTTTCAGACAACCACTGCAAAAATAAACAGTGCTCAAGATAATTGTCACGCTGAAATTGTGGCTCTTGAGCTGCGCTGAAGTTGAAATGTTTTGGTTTTGAAGAAAAATAAATGATTTCTTGTCTGGAGACGAAAAAGGCAGGATATGACATAGGCATTTTTAAAACGGTGTTTATAGGTCCCACCTTCACATCTTGGCAACAGCTGCAATAAACGTTGTGTAATTGGTTGCATATAACCTCTGGATGAGAAGTGTATGTTTTCATTTACGGCAGGTCATGTTGAGTTTGTAGTGGGATCAAATTTTTATATTAATTCATCAAATCTAAAATCTGAACACAAACTTTAGCACTGAATTCTACACAGAATTGGTACTTACTTATTATATGTATTTTATGTTCATTTTGTTTTCCATTTGTGTTTTATTTTCTGGCTAGTTATCTGCAGTTTCTCTTTTTCTCTTCCTTCAGGTGCCCATTTTGTCAAGTTCTTTGCCCCATGGTGTGGTCATTGCAAAGCCATGGCCCCAACCTGGGAGCAGCTTGCCACAACCTTTGAGCACTCTGATGATGTCAAGATAGGAAAGGTGGGTCCTTCAGACTGTGCACAGGTTGACATGTTAGTGATACAGCTACTCATAAATAATTAATCGGATATTAAAACAATAAAACAGTGACATGTTTAAAAACAAATGCAATAATGGTTGCTGCCTTTCTTCACACAAAAATAAGTTTTCTGTTGTTTTTGTTTTCTATTACCCATCCTATAAGTTGAACTCCCTTTGTGACAAACTTTTAATAGCAAACACTGTTATTGCAGTGTTAAAGCAGTCCTCCATTTTCTCTCTTCATTCCAAGTCCCCTTACACTAGCAACATTGTCATACTTGTTAGACAGAACAGGATGCTTGCCATATGAGAGGCTACCTGTTTGCATACTGGGTTATTAAACAAACACATCTTAAGCAAATGTGCAGGCTCTGTGTTTGCATTGATGATTTACTGTAGTTTAATAACACATGTTCATATATCTATGACCTAGGTGGACTGCACGCAGCACTATGAGGTGTGCTCTGAGAACGGTGTACGGGGATATCCCACGCTGCTCTTCTTCAACAACGGACAGAAGGTATGGAAGATGTTTTGGACTGCTACAGCTTGACTGCATCATCATCTGACCTGTTGCCACTGTGGCTGTCATGTTGTTTCTCATCAACACCCTCTAACTTTTACTGCAAACTGTACATGACATTACATCATGCTGGGATCATTAAATACATGAACAAATAGTAAAAAAATCACAACAGATGATGTTTACATTGATGCCACTGCAGCTGAAACTAAATTTGCTTATAGAAAGGCACACGTAGTATTTGGTGTTGCTATGTGTTGTATTCTTAGGGTGTGAAAAAGTGTCAGTGGTGGGTCCATAGGTAAAAATCTTTCAAACAAATCTTCATATGACAGTGGGATAACTGACTATGTGAAGGTATGATTCAAATAACCTACTAATTACTTGTGATTTGTGATAACAGTAAGGTTTTAATTCTTGTGTGTGCATCTTTTTGTAGACAGACCAGTACAAAGGAAAAAGAGACCTGGACTCTTTCAAAGACTTTGTGGACAACCAGCTGAAGGCTGCCGTTGCTGAGGACCAAGACCAGGAGCCAAGCGAGGAGCAAAAAGCAAACGAGATCCTCACTGATGAGCCAGCCAAAGAGGAAGTAAAGGTGGGTGGGAACAACAAATGTACATAATGTGGTGGGATGCTTTTCAGAGGTTATGATCATGGGCCTTCAGATTGCTACAGTGCCTGTTGAGCAGGTGTCCATTCTTCAGTTGGCTCTAATGTGTTTTAATGATTTTGCCAGGACACTTGAAAGGCCTTAGACACCATACTTGATACTACATGCTGATTCTAACATGGCTTTAACAATATCATGTATTGCATGCGTGTGTCCAACCAGGCTACAGAAGCATTACAGCCCATATTATAATGACTTCTTTCATTGGGAATCTGCTTTGCATTAACAGCTGCAAAGGTCGGGGGTACAATCATGTTATGATACAGTACAACCACTAATGTTTGATTAGGCTGGACCAAACATATGGCAGCCATCTTTACCTGCATATTCATAAAGCTCTCTAAGCACCCACTCCGCTATGTGCCTCTCAACCAGCAATTATGGTTGGGCTAGCTATTTCCTGCAGTGTTTTGTAAGTGTTTTTTAATGAGGTTATGTGGACATGAATGGGGACACTAAAATTGGCATTGCAACCCACCTCGTAGCTGCTTGTATACAAAATGATTGAATCAGCACAGTTAAATATCAGTTTCTTTCCTCTCTGCAGTCCGGCGTGTTGACCCTCACAGAGAACAACTTTGACGAGACTGTGGCCAAGGGCATCACCTTCATCAAGTTCTACGCTCCATGGTAAGATCGTCATTCAGATATTAAAGAAATATACTAATTAGCCTGTAAATATAATAGTTCTGTTTTATATTTCACATCTTTAAGGTTCTGTTCCTTGTTAAGTTCCAGCCTCTAGCCTCTTCTTGAATGTAGCTTTATATGTGACTCTGCTGCACTAGCTGCATCAGTGGAAGTGGCAGTATAAGCAGCACATCATATAATACTACACTTCCATGAGTTGGTTCAAATTACTTCTGTACAGTTCTGGGCCTGCAAAGGAGTTTGAATATAAACACATTTATACATTGGAAAAGTAGTTAGTCTTACTTCAAACACAAACATTACAGTCGCGCAGTAATTTCTCAGTTCAGTTTAAGTGATGTAAGTCCTGTGTTATCCTGCTGTCAACTGTAGGTGTGGTCACTGTAAGAACCTCGCTCCAACGTGGGAGGATCTCTCCAAGAAGGAGTTTTCCGGCCTCACGGACGTCAAGATAGCCAAAGTGGACTGCACTGTTGAGCGCACACTCTGCAACAAGTACTCTGTAAGTATCTTCAATCATCCTCAATTTATACTGTAAGACACCATCTAAACTGAACATGTAGCACTCTCTATCTCTTTGTCTCACATACCCTTCTGTCAGCCTTTTTATTTCTTCAGGATTAAGTGTGTTGAACAGGATGTAATAAAGCAAAGATGGGGGTTTTACCGCAGAGCCATAAAACAGTACGGCTGCCACATACTTTAATTAGATGCCACAGATTTTACACATGGGTAAAATTCAATTGGATGTCTGAATGATGTTATTGAGAGGAAAGTCCAGTGCATTATGGAATTTTGACAAGGCTTTAAAATTAAAGTGTGTGAAGACATTACACACACAAACTAACCCACAACAATAAAGTAATAAAAAGATCAATAACTTTAAATCTTTAAAAAGTAAAGGTCTTGAACTTCCCATCACTATTCAGTTTTGTTTACTGTTTCGAAATGAAATGGATCATTGTATACAATGCACGTTGTACTGCTGCGTCACAGTTCAAGATCCACAGTTCAGTTATCTGTCTGAAGATTCACTGTCATAAAATGTGGCCCTTTTTATATATTTAAGATATCTTCTCATATAAAACTGCACATGCCACTGTAATCTTAACTCTTTAACATTACCTCTCTCCGAGAGGACACGGGCTCTGTCTGTTAGTCAACTATCTCTAAAGTCATGACTATTTTTTAATAAAGTTTGGTGGACAGAACAGTGTCAACACTGGGGCAATTTGACAAATTGAAGGGTTTAGAAAAATAAAGCACATGAAATAAACCACTGGTCTTTCCTCTTCAGGTTCGAGGTTACCCCACTTTGATCGTCTTCAGGGCGGGTGTGCAGGGTGACGAGCATCATGGCGGGCGGGACTTGGAGAGCCTGCACGGCTTTGTGATGAGGCAGGCGAGAGACGAGCTGTAGAAACGGTCAGCACTCCACTCTCCACCACTCTGCTCGCCCACACTGCATAACTGGCCAGTAGGACACCACTCTCTCTCCTACAGTAACCAAACCTCTCTCTATCTCTCTCTCCACTTGGGATCTCTTCAGACAAGAGTCAGCCAATGACAGACTGTAGTCTGTTCTCTCTCCACTTTTCAAGGACAGAATGATTCAGTAGAGTGTTTTGGATGTGAATGTATTTCTCATTGCTGTTGCCCAACCTTAAATCTCCTAACAGGGAGAAAACTATCATTTGGTTGGGTCTACAAATGAAGTAATATGTCTGACAACCACTTTGCAAGCACTGCTCAATCAATCAGAACCAGAATTCCTTGCACAAATAAAAACTGTTGTTTATTAAAAGGGTAAGGACAGATGTCCCAGTTTCTGTCTGTTAAAGAAATCAATTGTTTCTGATGAACTTCTGTAGCCATTTACTTCTTTTTTTCTAAATGCTAAATTTTATATATGGGATTTGTTGTTAAATCATAAGCCATTAATGTTACGGTACTGTCAGTCAGAACTTTGTGTCACCCAAATGTGAAGTTGAGTGTTAAGTTGAGGGTGTTTTCTATCCATGCCAGTGATGGCCTATCTAACTTAACTCTCAGGGAAACGCCCTGCCGACTAGAAGGAGTTGTGACAGAGGCATCGTTGTTAACACAGGAGTCTAGGACTAACACAGGTCTAACAGAGGAGTCGTGGCACATGGACATGACTATTTCCTCTTCATGAGGTAGATTTTTTTTAACTTTTGGAAATAACAACCAGATAAGCTTGGTAAACTACACATCACAAGTATGGATCTTGCCCGTTTTCTAACTCCTGTGATCTCATTCAGCCATCCCTCTCTACTCTTCCTAGTATTCAGGGTCTTAGGCCTGAACCATGTTGCCCCATTTCTCCACCACTGAACGTCTTTAGAGTTACTACTGCTTCAGTTTTCACTGTTTTGTTTATTCAGAAACACCCATCAGATGCAGCTCAGTTAATACTGCGGATTGGATTTAAATCTCTCTAAAACTGGCTCTACGTTTGATCCTTTTGTAGTACAAGAAGTGTGAATGTAAAGTGTGCTATATCTCTCAGGCCAGACCCATGTTTAAAGGATTTGGGAACCTGTAAGTGGAGTGGAAGCGGACATGTGGAGCCAGTACTGAGGGTTAAACTTGCAGTGTAAGTTCAGGATGTTGTGCATCTCTGGCACTGTTCTCCCCGTGGTCTTACAAAGAAAGAATAGGTTTCATCAGAGCGTTTACAAGCCTACTTCTGCAGGTGGATATTTTTGTAATAATATTTGTGAGGTTGGACCTGACAGACATTTTACTGCAGCTCAGGGTCAGGCTAGCATCATATCACCTTTCTGACTATGATTGTGATCTATTCTTACCTTTTGGTCCCAAATTCTGTTCTTAGATGTCACAATTTCTGACAGTGGAAAACCTATGCTGTGAACTCGATAGCTTTAGGCACCAAAAACTAAGGATTAATAGTTTTAGTTGTGTATAGTTTAAGTTAAATGGAAAGTGGGGTGATCTGGTGGTAATGTGCAGCCTCACCAGCTGCTGGTTTCTGAGTCTCATTAATCAGTAAAATGATGTGGAGAAGTAGCATTATTTTCCTAATGCAACCAAAATAAATCATAATTTGGCTGGTGGCTGGTTTTAATTTCCCACTGTTTGATTATAACCACTGGTGAGATGAATCATTCAAACTGAAATCATCTTTAGTCTGCTGTATACTGTACCATAAACATCAACCCACAAATCCAACAGTCAAAGGCCAAGAATATGTAATCCGTCACAGGCCCGGTTCTAATAGCATTTGCAGTTTTTGCTAATAAAAGTTCCCTTCAGCACACTTTTCTGTGATTGACCTCACCCAGCTGATCGTGCCCATTACACTGCAAATGCTCTTTGACCCAGGTTATGTGAAAAGAATGTGCTGCGTGATGCAGGGCACAATTTATTGTCTAAACCCAGGTACACAAACAGACACACAGCAGTTTTTTTTGTCAGTAAAAGTTTTTATGGATAGCACATGGTCAAAGGAACTGACAGAAGTGTTTTTTTTTTTTTTCCTTGTGAGTCACGGGTTGTGCACTACCCATGGATTTTGTACAAAAAAAGAGTGAATAATGGCAAGTTGTAACATGAGATTTCATAATAAATTTTTTTCAAAAATAAGTTTGTATTTTCATTTTGTTCTTGCATCTGTCTCTGTTAATAAGGTATGTGATTTTTTTTCTTTTTAATAAAAGGTGCAATAAATAAGCTGAGAATGTACAAGTATTTACAAAAAAAACAGTCTAAACATGATCACAAATGTAAACAGCAGCTTACCAGAGGTATATTTTGTAATTTATGATTGGTTAGGCACATAAGGTATTTTGATTCTTGTTGGTATTAGTTTATCATTAAAATATGTTCTCTAAAATAAAACTCCATGTCATTCAAAGCTCACAGTAACATTTTCAATTGGAAAGACATTGCCACTGGACACAAATTGTAACAAATCTTTTACCCTCAGAGTAGAAGAACCAAAAGGGCTAATTTCAGAAAGCTGGCACAGAAAACGGTTCTGCCGGCTGTTTTTGACTCGCTGGATGTTTTTTCCACAATCTCTTGATGGGTTGTCAGGGGTGGAAGCGTTTGTTAACTTTGCGAGCGCAGCAACATGGAAATGGCCATTTGCGGTATGTCGGAGGGATAAGGCTGTATTCTTCGGTTCTTTGGAGAAAAACACGAGTTTAGCCACAACATGCATCACGTTGAACCAGCCTGGTGAATCGCAGCTCAGCGTGAGCCCGGCAAATATTGACACGGAGGGGATATTTGGAGCAGTGCACTACTAAAATAGCCTGCGGTCACTTTGGTTCAGTCCATATTATATTTTAGGAGGGCAAATATGGCTTGAGAAGAAAATACATTAGGAAAGAGGAAGGAAATATGAATCTACTGACTCCAATATATCATTTACTTAGTAGAGGATTGTTTGAGTTAACATCTGCACTGTAAAGGAAATTAGGTTTATATTTTCCCGTCTCACTCAAACCATTTATACACATTTTCTGTCATTTGACCAGGTGTTGTCACTGACTACTGTTGGTTTTCAGTGCTGTGATAACACTGAGTCGACTCTCCGGGGTCACGCAATGCAGAGAAGTTGTTGGTCAGTAATTATTCGAGCCTCTTCTGAGAACTGATCCACCATATGTTTTTTGTTTTTTTTGGGGTCGGAGAGGAGAAAGGGAAGGAAAGCAGCGCTCGGACTGGTCCCGCAACAGTTATGCCCTCCCCCTCTCAGTGAGGTGGAGGGTGCAGTAGCCTCTCAGGCGTTCATACACACACTTCCATAAACATAATATACGAACTTAAACACTCCGTCCTCCCCCACACACACCACCCACACACACACACACACACACACACACACACACACACACACACAGTCATTCCCTCAGTTGCAGACCCATGAAGTGAAGACTCCACTCCGCAGCTAATGGAGAAGGTGACAACTTGGTGGCTCAACACTGGAGTAGGGTGAAGTTGCCTATTGGATGACACCCATTTGGTGCCATTTTTTGCAATGGTCCCCTCTTAGTTTGATGAATGTTTCGAACGGTCCAAGATTATTGGAAAAGAACATGGTAATGATCTTTCAGGGTGGACATTCCTTGCAGGCTGAGGATTTTGGGCAGGAAGCTGGTGTCTAGTTGAGGTCAACGTCACTCAGGAGTCGCAGCCCTTTGCCGACCCGACTTTCTCTCAACTCGAATTGAGCGTTTTTTCAGCCCTCGACGCCGGTGTCAGTGGCAGCCGCAGGCACGTACCACCATGTTCTTGTATTTCTTCAGTATGACGTTGGAGTTGTCGTCAAAGTAGAGCACTGAGATGGCATGGAGCTTGGTGGGGGCGCAGCATGGCTTCGGTACGTTCTCAGGGTTCATCAGGTGCACCTGGAAGTCAAAGGAAGTTCTTAAAGCCTGTTTTACGTTCAATCTGAAATTGGCCTGCAGCATTGTTTCCATTCAAGAAAAGATTTTCTCAGACTTTAATATGGCCATCACAGTTTACTGGTACTCTTCGTGATAAAGGAACTTATTTTCACATGTAAAATCAGAGGAGTGCCCCTTTAAGTTAATTGTGTTTCGCAGTTACTGGAATACAATGTATATATATTGATCTTAAAACCCTAAAATATTTTAAGACTCACACACAAGAGTGATGAATACATCTGTTGAAAATAAAAAAAATAATTTTGGAACTCTAACTGTTGTCATTTAAAACTCTCGTTGCATCATTGCTGCACTGCTGCTAAATCCCTCAGAGCAACTGAACCAAAGACCCGGCAGGGAGGGGGTGAAAACAACTTAAAACAACTTCTCCTACACCCGGTTAAGAATATCCTGAGCATGGTAAACTCCTGTGGGTTTGTCTTACCAGTGTCTGTACGATGGCGTGGTTGGTGGCGTTCATGTGGGCATTAAGGGGGAATGAGCACTCTCCGTCACAGTAGTTGGCTGCGTAGCCTTCGGGAGCAATGATCCAATCCTTAAAGAAACACATGACAGTAAGCATAAAAAGCAGTACAGCCAGACCACATACTATCAATCATATCAAGTATATAAAATATCTTTATATGTTAATAACTAGTCGATCAGAAAGGTAGAACTGTATGTTTTTGCTTTGGAACGGCAGAAAGGTTATCTGGTTCTTGCCCACCTGACTCCTGCTGGTAAATTCAGTGTTAACCTCGTCTCTGAGGACAGATCCCTGCTCAAACGCTCCTGTCTGCGGAATCGCTCAGGGAAGCAATACTTCTCTCTTCTTTCCTTCCTTCCTCTGTGTGTCTTACTGTTTAGCTCTGACAAATTGTCTGCATGTTTTACCTCTTTCTTACTTGTTTTGGTGTTTTTATCTAGTGTGCCTTCCGGTCTGTGTCAGTAATCTCCCTCTGTCTTTCTCTTCTCACTTCTGTCTGTCCAGCTCCCTTCCTGTGTGTGTGTGTGTGTGTGTGTGTGTGAGTGTGTGTGAGTGTGAGTGTGAGAGTGAGTGAGTGAGTGAGTGAGTGAGTGAGTGAGAGGGAGAGAGAGAGAGAGTGTGCTGGCAGTCTCCCTCTAGATGTCAGTGCTGTGTTAACATTTCACAGCTTGTTTGGAAGGATGTACGTAACTTTGCCCCTTTATATCTTCTTCACTCTGTCTCCTGGTAAACATAAACACACATAAACACACACAAACACACACACACACACACACACACACACACACACACACACACACACACACACACACACACACACACACACGCACACACACACAGTGATGGACTGGGAATGAAAAATGGCTCTGGACTGTAATGTCCCGCCCCATCCAGGCTGTGATAGGTCGGTTCACGGCGATGCATCTCTCTTGCACTTGTTTTTGCATAACGGGGTGCTCAAGGGGCCCGCAGGGTGGACCCCGTGGCCCAGGCGGTCCATAGTCAGGCAGCCCTTCTGGCATTTGCCAAATTTCCAGACGGCCAATCCATCACTGCTCGTACACATACACACGTACAAAGCATGAGGCTTCAGTTGTGTTTATAAAGTATGAAAAGTATGACTTAAATGACTCGTTAATGGTAAAAACGTTTGGTCCACCACATTTTTTAGACCTGTAGGTTTAGCAAGTACTAACATAATTCACAAATGCCACCAAAGACAAGACTGCAAACTAGTAAACATGGATATAACGTGTTTTCTGAGGAAGGAAATAAACTTGACCCATTTGTCAGGCCTTCAATAAGTGGAGATTTTGACTAAGCCACTATTAAGACACTTATCTTAAAACATCCTATCTTGCTCTGTGTTGTCCCTCAAATAACAGCATAAAAAGCCCCCAAAAAGCCTTTAAAAAAAGAAGTAGCTACTTGATACACCTGATGTAGGGTTGACTTATTATTGATACCTAGGTCCTTAAGTTCAATTACTATTGCCCATTGAATATAATGTGTGCATTTTACTCCTTTTCTGTAATTCTGTAAACTCTTTTTGTGCCTGCTGGACTTGTATGTGTATATAGAGAATATTAATTATGCAAGAAGTCCACAATCATCCCTACATTGTGTGTTTATGGATCCTGAGTGAGCCATCTTTCAAAGTCAGTTTTATTTGTGTTAGCCTCTTAAATTGTTCTACATTCAGTACAGTATCAAGCTGCCAGTAAACATGGATTAGACTATCAGAGACTGCAAGAATACTACCTTACCTGTTCACCACACATGTGTATAAGTGCTTGTGTGGATGCACTGAATAAGAAAATGTTCACTACCTGCCAGCCCAGCTCTCTGAAGCTGACGTAGAGCTCATGTCTTCTGCACGCCGTCTTCTGATCACTGCTGTTGTAATCTGCAACAGAAAAACAGACGACAACGGTAAAACACAGTCAGCAAAAAAGCCTTCCCTGGGTAAATAATTTTTTTTTTTTTATTTTTTTAAATATCCCAATTAAACCTCATGAAAGTGACGCATTGCATTCAGAATCTGAGAGCAGAAGAATAACACAATCCGCCTCGTGTAATGCACTGGGTGGAGACGCATGCAAGGGCGTAGACCGGAGCACAGGCACAAATGCTCATGACAGCGGTCACTGCGCTGTACGTGCTTCACATTCATCTGCTGTCTAATACGTCTGAACGTTTGCCTAATTGAATTCATCAGCATTCAAATATTGCTTGGCATGAGCGCAAGTGGTGACAGAGTGACAATTGTGTTTATGGACTCTCCTGCTCTGCAGTTTGGACTTAATTATCTCCGTTCCACTCTGCAGCAGTGGGGCGGGCTGGCTGCAGACGGTCCCAGGTATAGGTTTGGTTTTTCACAGTCGAGGAGGTCATTGCTGGCACCGGTCACCGCGCTGAAGTCAAGGCGGTGACACCGACTTTCCACTGACGTTTCAAGGGCTCTCTCTCGCTCACTTTCTCTGTCTTGCCTCATTGACTTTATTGTTGGTATTATGTTTTTTTTTTCTTCACAAGCCTTCCCAGTGAAAGACAATGAGAGGGAAAAAAGAAAGCTGAGGCACTAGTTAGTCCCGTATTTTCAGAAGAGCTTCATCCAGGATGACCCATGGTGTAACGGTGGTCCCTTAACGCCCACAAAAGCAAACTACGTTTGGCTCCTTGTTGGCCCCACGATGGCTTTAAGCAGTACCCCAGCCACAAGCCCGTAAGAGATTTTAATTGTAGTTGGTCATTGTTTAATTATAAAACTGTTAACCAACTGTTTTGGCAGAGGACCTTCTAGTGGTTGCCTTTTTTTGTGCCACTTGTCATTAGGGCTACGATACTGGTTTCTGATTCCATGTTTAGGCAAATGGAGTAAGTGCTTAAGATATTTAGTCTACAATTACTTTACACATTGCAAAAAACAAAAACTATTTACAGCTTTGACACTATGTGCAAGTGGCTCTCACAACCAAAACTGCCATTTGCTACTTTTTTCAGATTTGCTCATTGCAACGTCAGCCGGTTTGGGGTAGCCACTTATTCTGTCAGGCCATTCAAACGTGGTGATTTGTCTCTCTTCTGCAATAAATAGAGAGGGCCCCAGAAATGAGCAGCACATTACTGTAGTTGCAACATTTACAAGAAACAATTGCTATATAATATGTAGACAAGCTCTTAATAAATGTGAGGAAAAATTGTGTGTGTGAGAGTGTGTGTGTGTGTGTGTGTGTGTGTGTGTGTGTGTGTGTCAGGGAAAAAGAGAGCGAGTGAGTCAGACTGCAGACGGGGATTTGTCACTCAGTCACAGCCACCACCCAGCCACTCACCTCACTAACTCGCCAACAGCAACCGTGGTTAGTCAGCTGGAGACGGAGACAGCACACACACACACACACACACACACACACACACACACACACACACACACACACACACTATATACAAACAATTATGTAAGGGTCATTGATGTCCTTACATCTCTGCGTGTATCATTCATTACCACTGGCACTTACAGTACGTAAACAAATACACACTCACACACAAATGACCTGATGTTTATCTGTTTAACAGCCAAATCCACTTAGCCACCCATTAAAAGGCAGAGTTGTCACTTAAATTTGCCCGTGCTAGTTGCATTAAGATTTCATCATCACATCAAATTTCATTTTGAACAGACGCACTGACCGCACTGCCCAGACCCGTGTGTTTTAGCTGGACTCCTCTCAAGTATAAGAAAAAAGAGACAGAAGGGGGGGACGGGGGACGGAGGGAGAGCCAGTTGGACTTGTCACTTGGATTCATCTCAGCTTGAAGTAAATGAGAAGAGAGGGAAAGAGAAAATAGACAGAGAGGACTCAGAAAGAGCGAGAAAAGAGAGGGGGGCTAAGTAGAGCATGGCGTTGACACTGCCGGAGTTTGGGCTGCAGTTTCTACCACCTGTGCTAATAATGTGCAGGTGCTGTATAATAATAAGGCACTTTGTGTAAGAGCATCTACCAGACAGCATCTAAAATAATACAAGAAATGTCTATAGTGGCTTATAGGGCTCTCATAAGGATTAGTGTATAACTCACTATGTTTAAGGGAACTTAAGAAGATTTGATTTTATAAAGGTTAATGGAGTTTACAGTCTGTATAGTGCATAAAAATGTTCCCAGATACTGTTCTAATTTGGTTTTCAGATGTCATCAAACAAATCAGATGCAGATCAATTGTGGTCTAAATTTTCCCTAAACAAGAACAACAATAGAGACATGAATGTGTCTGAGTGGACGCATTAATTCAGCAAGAGACAGGAAATGGAAGGTGAGACTGGTCACAGGCGGTTGCGGAGTGAGGTCAAATGGCCATCCGTAACCATCAAATACAGTCAGGTGTTTCCCCAGTTTAGGGTTCCTTCCTTCCCAATAGGAAGGCCAGTTCACTGGGTGTCTGCTAATCTGGAAATACACTGTTTATATGTGTGTGTGTGTGTGTGTGTGTGTGTGTGTGTGTTTGCCGGTGTGTATATCTTTGTGGGTGCACATGTACATGCTTGTGCTCCGTGTACATCTGTGTGTCTAAGTGTGTGTGCGCAGAAGATACACATGGAGACCAGGTAAAATGTGCTCGTCCTGCCTCCCTGTGGACTGACTGACCTGCCATAGTCTTTAACAGCAGAGAGCACTCGGATCTAACAGATTTACTGTATGGAGGCATTCACAAATGAGAAAACAGGCTGGTCCTAGACCAGCTGCTGCAGGATTCTGCTGATTTTCCTATAATTATTACAGCAAAGAGCATGTTTTTTCTTGCATTGTAAGGCACATTTGCAGTGTGTACAGTGTTTATATACAGGAAACATCCAAGGACGGAAGAAAAGTGCCATTGAAAGAACTAAGCGGATTGGCTTAGTGAATTGGCTGACCTGATATGAACTTGAGGTGATGTTTATAGAACGAGGAACTGACACATTAGACTATTATAAGATGACAAGGCTTTCATACAATTCATGTATAGAGATGTATGAGTCAGTAATGAACAATATAATAACTATTTTTGTGCCAGTCACCATGTCTCTGTAAGTAATGCACTGTACCATGACATACACACAGCCTCAAACTGCATGCGGCCATATTATATACACACACTCAGAGACCCCCTGCTCCTTCATCCAGGTCTAGTTTATGGTGCGTGACATTCAGCTTCGGGTCAAATCAGAGCCCATGTAGGAGGGTGAATGAAGCCGGCTGCACACTAGGCGGACTTCTGCACCAGTAGCTGTTAATATAGTTCCTCACAAGGCGTCTACGGTTGCGGGCAAGGTGGAAAACTCCAACCATCTCATTTGATTCATCGTGCTGAGACAGAAAAACTGTATCTGTATCAAAATAAAATGTTCCAATACCTTCAAACTAACACTGTATACTTCTATTTGTTAGAAGAATTAATTGTGCACTGCGCATGGAGCGGTAAATGAAAAGGCTTTAACACATTTTGGATAACATACTGAGATAGTGTCACATTATTAGCTGAATTGTTCAAATGTGAATACTAACACATATTAGAAGAATACCCTGCTTTGCCGTATGCTGTTCAGCACAAGGTATACTATTTAGCAACATACTCCAGTTTCCCCTCTTTCTCACACACACACACACACGCACACGCACACACACGCATCTACACACAAGTCATTTTCCTTGCACCTCTTGGCCTTCAAAGCCATCAGCATTTACAGTCTGTGGGGCTCTTTAAGAGGAATAAAGCTGATATTTACTGTGGGCTTTCATTGAGTGTAAAGGCCCAGATTTGTGGTGCCCATAAACCACATCTCCCCTTCCTGCCTGTAAAAATTTAATGCCACACAGCTACCGCTGAGCTCCGGCTCCCATGAGGCTTCTATTCATTTCTTTTTCCTCTCCTTGACAGAGAGCAGAGGTGGGAAAGAGAACGTGAACTTACTCTACATATTATCCTTATTAGACAAATTTGTATATGACTATATACTACGGCTAATGAAAAGTATGTGCAGTAGGTTTTAGTTTTACATTGTAGTAGGTTATCATAAAATAATTTGATGATAGATTGTGGTATTAAGCTCATTCATTAAAGGTACAGTTAGACATTTTGGGAAATGTGCTCAATTATTACCACTCCCATGTCTGTATGCTAAATATGAAGCTACAGCTAGCAGGTGGTCAGCATATCTTAGCATAAAGACAGGAAACTGGGAAACAATTAGACCTGCTCGGTCCAAAGGTAACAAAATCCACCTAACCTCCTCCTAACCCCTGACAAGAAAGCGAATAAGCCTATTTCCTAAAATATCGAACGGTTCCTTTAGGCATCGGCAGCACATACAGAAACCAAACCATGAATCCTAGTTTCACTTGCTTACTTCTATCAGGACAAAATATTTGAATATCAAATGGAAGCAGGATTTCCTTTATTGACATGGTGATGTGAATGGAGCCAGTGGCACTGAGCTCTACTCACATATTACGGCAGCTTACCCAACGGTGTTTAACCTGGAAATGTTTTCTCTGTGAGTAGACAAGCATCTATTTGACCATGTGACACTAAAACTCTCCAATAAAACCGATTCACATTGAATTCATTGAGGTGGAGCAGCGACTGCCGGTTCCCCACCCTGTCTATTCAATAGCAGGGGAAACAGGGCTCCTTACTGAACGTAATACTGTATGGTATGAGTCCTGGGCTGATATTAACCCTTCACTAGACTACCTGCCATTCATTAAGCCCCCGAAACACTTTAACCGGCACCTGTTGAAAGGAAAAGGCTATAAATTATATTTATCACGTGTTGTTCCAGAAATGAAATGGTGCCAATTCAGACGTTACAGCCAGGATGTTTGGTGTAGGAAGCGTGTGTGTTGGTCTATGTGTGTGTGACATTAAAAAGTCATTTCAACCCAAGCTGGCCGCAATTTCCCACAGACGCTTTGCTGTAATTCTATAGTTTTCAGCAGCAATTTCTCAAATCAAGAGCGAGAAAAGATTGCAGCTTTTACAGTAGCAATTACAAGAACTCCCAGAGAGGTTTTAGTGACAGAAAAACTTTGGTTATATAGGCCCAAAAATAAAATGTGGGTCCTTAAGACTTGGAAGAAGAATGTCACTGTTGTCCCTGACGTTTCTCCTCTCTTTTCCCTCCCACCAACCACTACTACTGAAGTTTATCTTTCTTCCTGTCTTTCATCACAGAGGTTATTAAACCCTGCGAGGGAGCTCCGCCACATCTAATTACTCCAACGGTAAACAAAAGGAGGTCGGGCGGGGAGGGAGCGAGGAGAATGAGGAGGAGGAGGGAGGAGAGGAGAGACAGATGAAAAAACACCGATGGCCAAGCGCCGTGTTATTATAATTCTTTGAGCAATACTGTTAGCGTGGTCAGTCGTTTAGCTGTGCAGCTAATGACTGGCTAGGCCTAATTACAGGCCGCCTGTGCAGCGCCGGGACCTGATATTCCTTCCCCGGATGGTTGTTAACTTCCCCCACAGCCAGAGCCCAACCCGACTCCCATTACCTCCCTTGGCCTTCTTTGCCCACAAAACCCCAAATTACCTTTAAAGGTGTTGTATTGTTCTTTTGGCAAGGTACACAGCAGCATTTTCCACTGTGCACACCCAGAGGGGGCGGAAGCATTATGCTGATGTATCTGTCTCATAACTCCAAATTTAAGAAAACGTGTACTAGACTAAAAGGACATATTTGCCCAGGAAATAAGAAAACAAGACATTACTCTGCCTGGTCTGTAAATGGTCTGCTTTTGACAGTGTAATATGAAAAAAAAGGGGATTTATTAGACATTTAATCGCACCATTATCTCAAAACTAATGCTGCAGAAATGTATTTGGCTGAATTTGTCCTCTTTTGTCATCTGGAACACATTTACTATCACATGTCGTTTTAAATCCAGCTTGCTAAAATTGTGAAAATGAGAAAATAACAAGGCCCAAAGCCTCACAGGGGATACAGTAGGGAAAATAAAGTTTCATCGTTAAAAGGTTGTTTTATATCCTTCGCAGCCAGAGAAGGCATTTTAACAATTTATGAAATCAAAATGAAAATGGACAAAAATGTCTCTTTAAGTGTCAGTTACACCTCAAAGGAGGAAAAAAATGGTACCGAAAGATACGGTCAGATCAGTGCAGCGGTTAACCACACAGGTCAGGAGTGTGCAATTTGGGCAGAGCAGGGAAACTATTTTTAGAAAACACACAGAGCAAAGTAACTCATGCTGAGAGTGTTTTAAAAAGCCTCTATGTGGAAGCTAGTGCACACTAGAGCAATTAAAAACAAACACATTGCTGCCTTCCGGCCTTAGATCCCATGTTTTTTCAGAAAGAAAAAGCATCAGGGTGAATTATCGGTGAAATCCTCCTTTTAGCCAGAGCTGTGGTGGCCTGAACTGATGTACTGTAGCTCTGTGCCAGACAGACACTGGGGGACAACGTCCACATTTTGTTTCTCCCCATGAGTGCTCCATAAGACGGATGCTCTCCCCATCCATCCTGTCCTCCTCCCTGTCTCTAGAGTGAGTGATGCGGTATTGAAACCATATGCCCTCCTGAATTCCTCACGGATCCTCCCATCCCATCCAATCCCAGCAGTCCTCCGCTGGCCACGGACACTCGGCTGTCGCGAGGGGGGCCTCCCTGCTTCCTGTGTAGGATCTAAATATTTACACTCCCCGTCGTCCCGAGTGGCGAGGCGGAGAGGTCTTGATGTTTTGGGTTATGTAAAGTCCAATCCTTCAGGACGCATATTTAACAGATTGTCCTTGTTAGAACAGATTTTTGAGCAGATTCACCTCAGAGAAATATTTCTCATCCTCCTGATATAGAGTCCGACACAAAAGCAGACTACAGCCAACCCACCTTGTTCACTATTTGCTTGTAAAATTAAGCATTTAACTATTTCTTTAATTATGAATTTAATAACATTTGACAGGAATATTCCTTCATGTACTGAAAGAGAGCAGAGGCGACATCTGTTACAGAAACACTAACACACATTGTGTTCACCTCAGCTCTTTGATTCTTAAGACTACTGGGGTATGCTATCAGAGCGTCTTCAAGACATCTTGACTTAAGCTCTGAAGACATCTTAGGACATCTCAAGCCAAAGACAGCTGGGTAGAAAAGAGCACAGGTCTGGAGCCAAAACTGAACATGTGGTACACTCCAACTCTCCTGTAGCATAACAAATGATGAGTCTTTGTTCTTTGTTATGTCAGCAAAAGCTTTCATCTAATGCAATTACAGAGAAAACGCCCTGCAGGAATTTAACTTACAACCTCTTATGTTAACAGCAGCACACTGTAACCTACTGGGAAAGTGAAGGAGATGCACTGAACAAACAGGAAATACAGCCAACAAATCTCAGCGAGGGTTTTTCAGAGTTGTAGTGAGAACAAACCCAACTTGTCCCACACATACTTCTGTATACCATGCAGATGGTAGAGCCATTAAACAGGGCAGCAGAAGAAGCATAGCAGAGGTAAATCGCTTCCCAAGTCGGGCCGTGTGCAGCTGTGTGTCAGTGCGATAAACCCTGGCACCAGAGAGCCAAACGTGAGCCGACCCCGGCCCAGATTTAGCCAGGTTTTTTGGGGTGCGGGCTGTAGCCATTTTGGGCTGAAAATCAGCTCCAGTTAGTGGGCTAGCTTTGGGCCTAGCCCCTGGAATCGCCACAAGTATACTTAAGCTGATTCTCACAAGTCATTTATCAAAAGTCTGACACAAGTCCAGCAAGCAGGTGTGCCGAGCTTAGGCTGCTGCTGGGTCCAAACAATTTTGGCTACCTGAAGCTCAGCAGATACACAGCCCTGAGATATTTAAATACAGAAAAACTAAGTTTTACGGTGGCACCCGGTATGTGGTTCACCTGGGCTTCAATTCCAAACCTGCGGCCCTTTGCTGCATGTTGCCATTTTTATTTACTGCGGCACACAGGGCTCTCCTCTGATACGCAGCAGAGTCAAAGCTTTGAGCTGTGGAAGCTTAATATTAACATGATGCTTCATCTGTCAAATTAGCCAAGGATCAGGCCGATATTAACAGCAGGCTCACTGAGCACTAACTTTATGTGCTGCATTAGTCACACAATGAAGCCTCACAGGAGCAGCTTAGCTTTAAGCGCTATAAAGTCTTGCCAGAATTGCACAGCAGGTGAAAGGTGGGCGGATTAGGGTTTGATTTAATTTGAAAGCTTGCAAAGCTCATAACATCAGGCTTGCTCACTTTACCTGCTCATTACATCATCTGCTGTGTAAGGAGAGAAGCGGGGAAGACTTGATGAGGAGGGTTCAGAGGATGAGGTCACCTGTCAAGACGCATTTGCCGTCCGGGTCCTAAATCACTGAATATTCACTAGTCCACAATCTTGTGTGTCTCAGTTTGCGGTACTAAATCTCTAGTGATAATTATTACATCATTTGTAACTACACACATATTCTTTTTCTTTGAGTTTGAGTGCAATTTCTTAAACTCTTTTCTCTTCTATACTCTCCACCATTCATCTCATACTCTAGCCTTTGTTCCTTTTAGCTCAAATCTCCAGCAAAACCCTCCATTCAACTCTTTGGCTCAACCTGTCTGGAGAGGTGCCACCGAAATATTCATATTTAAAACATCTTATATATATTGCTCTCGAATATACACTATATTCCCAGCTTAAGATGCAGGTTTCAGGATACACTTCACTGCTCTAAATGCATACAGAGGAGCTACAGTAAAAACAGATTTTGGACATCATCCCTAGGCTAGGATTTTCAAATGATGGGGGCTGATTAGAGAGAGATCCGGATGAAGTCAGGTCCAATTTATCAAGTGTCTCAAAGAGAAATACTTCAAACACATGCTACCCATTCGCTGATCTCAACAGGTTAGACATCAATTACGGATGCAGTGAGGTCAGTTTTGTGTCTGACTGTGTTCATGGTTGCATTGTTTGATGAGGTCAGTTAAGGTTCAGTGTTTGTGTAGCAGAGATCAGACTGACCTGCTGGGCTTAGGCCTCTGGATCCCTCCTGTGGTTGTGTGGATCGGTTGCGGTTCTGCTGGCGACGTTTTCCACCGGGGGAGCGAGCCGTGCGGATATGCACTTCACTGACTTTGAAGAACGCCACCATGAAAGGCTGCTTCTCCAGCGCGCCGTCACGTCCTACGAGCCCCGCCTCCTTGGAGCTGATGCTCTGCCCTGTTTCAGAAGACACAGCATTTAAAACAAGGCAAGATTTATCATAATGGTTGTGTTGTTTTGCACAAGTTTCGGATTCTATTGTCAGTTGTGATTATTTTGTAGACCACAGGAAGTGACTTACTTAGACCACTAACATAAAACTATGGATTTATGTTGTAAAATGTAATAAAAGTAAAGTAAAAATGTGATTTAATCTCTCACCACTGCTGGTCTCCACGCTGACCTGCAGGCCCAGGTTGTGCACCGGGCTCATCACCCACAGGTTGCTGGTGGCAGTAATGTCAAACTCCAGCCAGCCCTCCTCAGCCGCCCACAGCCTGCGAGATTCCAGCAGGAACAGGTCTGCCTCTCTGGGAGAACATGGGAGTTGATACAAAAGAAAAAATTGCTTGGATCATAGATAATAATAGTGTTTCGTGACACGACTGTGTGAAGGGTGGGTGAAGCTTGTTATCAGGCCTAGCACCTTAGCACTAACTAGAAAAGATGTGGTCGAACCACTCTAATTTCACTACTTTTTATGGTTATCAAAGGTGGCCTTTGAGGTTCAAAACAGCCAAGTTAGTTAGTAGGCATGATGTTTTTTGTGCTAACCAGGTTTTGAAGCCATTTCAAGACATTTTATAAGTGGATTTTACTAGTTTGTTGTAGAGTTGTAGATTGCATTTTTGGGTCACTGTCAAACTGCACCACATGAAAAGGGCTTGGTTAAACTACATAAACAATATTACAAAGTACTTAGATTTATTAAACTCTATATTTGAATATCTGGCAAGCCAGAGGCAACAGAGGTACACGACTTACATGGAGAGAGTGAAAGAAAAAGAGTTAGTGCACATGTAAATGCTAGTCAATACTGGCCAAAAAAAAAACATCTAGTGTGCTTTCTCTGATAATTATGTTCTGTAAAGTTGTATGTTATTTTCACTCAATCAACCTACAGCATGAAATACAGACATACAATAGTGTCGTTATAGCTCAGAGGACTGATCTACCTCTTTAAGAAAGCAAGGGAAACACAAGAGCTGTTGGTTTGTATCAGGGTAACAGTATCATAACAGAATGACAGAAAGATGGATTGCTGCACTTAACAGAAAAGGCTGGGAGACACTGTATTGTACTCCAATGTAGCTTTGACCATACAGTCTACCTCTCTGAGGGACAGGAAAAAAGGAAGGAATTAAATCTTTGGTATCAGGCTACAGGCATGTTAATATCATTTACAATATTTTGTATGAATGAAATCAGGCTGCAAAACGGAAGAATGTGTCAAACGGGTGAAGAAAAAGCTGGACATACCACGACTGTGGACTAATGAATGAAAAGAGGAGCTGGAAGGAAAAGACAGAATGTGAGTGATAAGAGGGCCTGTCCTCCCACTGTCCCATTACAGTAGTAATAACACAGCGTCGGGTCTGTCGGACCCTCCTCAAGAGCCGACATCAAAGCCTCACAATCATCCAGGTGTTCGGAGAATGCCCCTGCAGTCATGCATCAGCAGCCCTCTTTATTGGTCATTAATGAGAGTGTTTCTGACAGCTTCCGTATGAGCCTCTATTCCTTGTTTTCCCCTCACACACACACACACACACACTACACCCCGCTGCTAAGTTCACACGTTTGTCACAGCATGGGCCAGTGTACCAATGTTTCCGCCTCATCGTCACAGCCGCAGCTTGGCCGGCGAAGGACGGTAGGGGGTCCATCAGGGAGCCACCTGCAGGGCGAAAGGCTACTGAGAGCCTACTGTAAAACTTCTTATTGACTGACTGCTTAAATGAACTGGAATAATAAGGTCAAAGGTGAAAGTTGTGTTTTTTGCAACAATAAATCTCCTTTATAAGTCTTGTCAGTGAGTGTTGTTAAAAATGTAACGCAAGGTGGGAGAGTGTAGCTCACAGCTGGCCTGGTTATTTCACATGCTTTCATCTTGTAAACTGCTGAAAAGGCATATTTGTTAAATTGTAAAAGCAATATGTAAGACATCTGGAGGGAAAGAGTGCAGAGGGTTTCAGTATACGAGAGAGATGATAATTCTTGATCTAAATACCTAAGCAACATTTTAAGAATCACAATAAAGGCAATATTACTAAAATACACGTATAAGGAAGAAGAGGAATGAAATCATCTTGTTGGGTACAGTATAATTGCTGGTAAAATGCTGCGGATTAGGGTTTTGGTCTGGAAAAACAGCCTTCGCAGCAGCATGCACTTTCCTTAATACGATGTCAGTCCCGCCGCATTTTTGGCATTGTAATCTCTCACATTCCTTGCCTGCTGTTAGCGAAACCACCCCAATCAAATGAAAAGTACAAAGGGTGTCAGGCTAATTAAGCACTCTATAATTACGGCTTAGAGTCAAAACAGGAGTCAGGTTTTTTACGGGATGGAGGGGCGCGAGAAAGTTAATAGGCTCCCGAATGATTGGGCGATTACAAAGGTACAGTTTAGCAAAAGGCGGAAAACGGGGAAAAACAAAGATTTATAATTTTCTGATATAAATCGTCAAACCTCAGACGTTATATTCAGAACTGGGGGACACTGAAGATAAAAATGTAAATTCAAAACGGTTACGACTTAAATGCTGTACAGACGTTACTGATTTTGGATTCACACCTACAAAGCACAAAAACAGCCCGAGCAAATGTTCTCCACCTGAGAGCACACCATCCAGGCTGTAATTTTCTTCAAGGTAAAAAACCTGTCCTACAATAACACAGAAATTGGACATATAGGGGCCCTTTAATCTCCAAATATCTCCCAAAATAAAAGGCTTTACCACCAGGCTGCAGAGCACAAACCACCCATTGTAGGGATAAAGGAATGCAGCAAATAAGTAGCTCTTGATACTTTTAGAAACCTTTTGAAAGACAGAAAAATATACTTTGCCAACATCCATAGGTGACATTCTTATACTTTTTCGATACGCGGATCTCAGGGTGGATCAGCTTTATCCCTGGACTGTAGTCTGAGACAAGATTTGGTGTTGAGAGACCCCACATTAAGGTGTCTTGTTTCTTGATTATATTCAACACAAAATTATATATTTAAAAAGTTACTTTGAGGTGTATTCAGTATCAGAAATTCTCTTCATGTTAGAGTTGGTTCTCACTGGGCGGGCTTGATAAAACACAAATATCATTCAGAAATCTTACTGGATGTTTATCTCCCCCTGCAGACGTAATGTAAATGTTTGGCATGTATTAGCTGTGCTCATTTGGGGGATGGGAGGATTTTGAAGCTGTGCTATTTCTGAGGGACGTGGTTTTGCTTGATTTTACAATATAAACATGGCAGGGGCTCAGAGTCTGTGTAACACACAGGGAGAAGGCAACTTTTTATAATCATAAACTTTACTTTTGTTGATGCCCAGTACAACCACAGTGCTCTGCAAACTTACCAGATCAACCCGAGGGTGGTCATTGCACACTCATGTTGCATTACCAAGCCCTGTTCACATGCACAGAACTTTACTTAGGATTTGACTCATTATGGTAAAGCTTCGTAAGATACCAACTATGTCGAGCTGTACTGTTGAATTACAGGAAATTAGTGTAAAATATATCAACATCACCTATTCTAGATCATTTACCCGCAGACATGAAAAACTTACTTCTAAGGGGCAGTGGAAGACCCCTCTAATAGGCCCATCTATGGGACATACTTAACTAAAACATCAATCTTTGTGTTTATTTCTGCTATTGTTATTATCTGTCTTTGTTTTTTTTATTTCCCCCCCTTTTCTTTATTTGCTATAATTATCATTATTTAATCTTATTAAATTATTTCTCTGTATTTATTTATTTATTAATTTAATTTAATTTAATTTAATAATTTAATTTAAAAAAATGTCTAATTTAATAAAATGTTTATTTGGGTTTTTCCACTGGAAACCCTGTTGATTGATTGATTGGTGTAATATGTTGATGCAAAAGGACTGAGTGGGCTATTTACATACTAATTATATGAATTAGCCAGTTACTTTGAAAAAGCCAGGGGGATGAGCATGAGGGAAAATGCAGAATAAACTTTAACCTTGCAACATTTTTTCTACTATTTGATGTCAAAAAAAAAGAAGAAAGAAATGGAATTGTGCACAATATTATACTGTATTTCACTTGTATATGTGTAATTTTTTATGTTTGATACAGTCTAACAACATGTTAAATATAATTAATAATAATAATGCTGTCTTAAGTCTAATAAATTAACTTGAGTAAAGTGCGAATAATGTAAGCATTATTAAGCTTCAATGAAGCACTGTAAGAGCCACAATTAATTTCTCAGTTGTTGCAGGGATTCAAACCAGATATTGTCCTGTTAAAAGCGTATCACAATATGTGTGTGTGTGTGTGTGTGTGTTACCTGTCAGGGTGCTCCTTGACCACCTGATAGACTTTGAGTAGAAAGGTGTCATTGCGGAAGGCACGGCTCACACACTCCTTGTAGAGGCGAAACTCGGCTGCGGTGACGGCCTCGCCCTCTGGGATCTGTGAGAGGTTGAACTTAAACTCCTTGTGGTGACGCCGCTGTGCAGAGAGCTCCCTGTCGTACTCCACTGTGGGATAAAAAAAACACACACACACACACACACACACACACACACACACACACACACACACACACACACACACACACACACACACACACACACACACACACACACACAGGATCATAACATTATCAAAGGAAAAAAGAGGCAAGCGTTCATCCTGTTCATCAGAAGAAATCACTGTTCTATTAGATTTTTTTACATTATTTTCCTGTGGACAGCATTGTCTTTTTTGACCTTTATAATGCTTCTTCTGTGGTTTTGTCTCACATTCACGATGCATTTTCCACAAATAGTATCAAAGTGCATATTTACAAACAGGGTTCAGTGTAAATATACAGTAGTGAGTGTGAGCGGATATCCTCTTCTCAGACACTGCGCGGAGGTCAACCATAGAAGCCTTTAAAACGATCACATGTGATTTATACTTAAGGTCTAATAGGTTTTGTGGCATCCAGTTTCCCTAAATAAACCCCTGTTATCATCAGTCCGAAGCAAAAGCCCATGATTTTTTTTTCAGTGGCAGCGAACTTAGAGACGTTCTGCGACCACTTCTGACGGCGTGAAATGACAAAAACCAACAAATGTGCTCCCTCCTATGCTTTTAAGTGCAATATGCGCCATAATGATAATGTGCTCTCCGGGGATTCGGTTCCTGTCTCAGCTGGAGGTTTTGCTCCCACAGCAAAGAGCCTGCAGAGTCAGTTTGTCGACGGACGCACAGTGAGAAGAGGAAAATGAATAAATAGGGGCATGACGAGTACAATTAGAAGGTTGCGTACAGAAATATCCGCGCAGACATAAACAGTAAATGCTAAGCCTCAAAAATGTGCTATATTCTGTAAAACACACACAAACCTAGTGACATAATTGCTTGAGGACCCAAAACACACATCAACACACTCTTGCTATTCTTAAGCCATCACACTGTCACAGATTTAAAGGCTTGTCGTGGGCTACACACATATACACACTATATCATCATCTCTGCTCTAGTTTTCACTCAGTGCAGCGAGGTTCAACAGGCCGTGGTTTCTCCGCCACAGACTGTAAGTGCAGACTCACTGGGATCCAAAGCTGGACATATACTGCTACCTCCGTTTTTTACCTGCAGTGGGACCAAACATAGATCCAACATCATGCATCTGTCCTCTACCACTGCTGCAGCTGCTTCAGCCTGTAGGGTTTTAGTCAAAGGAACAGTTTGACATTTCGGGAAACACCTATTTACTTTTTTGCCAATAGTTAGATGAGAAATTTGATACCACTCTCACGTCTGGTTACTAAATACGAAGCTACAGCCAGCAGTCGGTTCGCTTAACTTAGCATAAAGACTGGAAACGGGGGGGGAAAAGACTAGCCATGGACATTTCATAGGTTAAAATGTCAAGTTACGGCACATGATGGGGATGTGATGTGCCAGATTAAGCTGAGCTAGCTGGTCTGGCTAGTCTAGTGGAACCAAAATTCTTAGTTTAAAAGTGAGAGGTAATATGAAGCTACTTCCTGTCCACTAGAAACATCATGGCGTCTTCCTCCTTCATACTCTAACCCAACACATGCTAATTGGGGTCCAGTAGTTTCAGACATATTTAAGACATATCTGAATTAAAAGTAAAACATTACATTTTTACTTTGTTTATACAAATATTTCATTTTATTTTGGAGATTCATTTGAATACATATATAGCCCAAAGAGAAGAAGAATTTAGTTTTGTACCCGAGCCAAGCTTGTTAAAACTTTCTGGTAATTTTATGATGTGGGGACCCACCCAACATGGACCAATGACACATTTTGTTCCCCGAGTCATAGCTGAAGAGAAAATTGTGTTGATGTGAGAACACTGGAACCAATCAGACTATCCCAAAAGTGCCAGCCCCACCTCGTACCCACACCCAGGAAGGTCAAAGCTCCCCTCATCCCCAGACATTTCCAAGTTACATAAATGCTGAACTTAAGTAACAAACTGAGCAGAAAAGACAGCCAGGGAAGGTGTGTCTTTCTAGCTCCATTGCATTTCTGAGGAAAATCAGTATTGCTGGGACTTGGTCAAAACAAATTACAATAATTGAAGCCTCTCAGTTTAACTCTGAGCCAGTTCTGCCTCTCTGTACTTCAAACACTCTCCACTAAGGCAAAGGAAACCACCTATAGAGAATGAGATGTTATTCACATCAGCGTAACTGTGACTTCTATCAGATGTGACAGTGGCCATTTCATCATCGTACTCCACAGGCTGCCCACACGCACAGATGTCACAGTAACTATGTGCGATAACAGGTCTGGTCTTGTGTTGAAGGGTAGCTAGATCAGCTACGCTTGTGTGTCTGTGTGTGGAGGACTTAAGCAGAGGTCATGGTACTCTAAATGACTTTACAACACTCCCTTCAACAGCCCTGGGCTTAAAGACCAACAGCTTGAAATTTTGTATTCCCTACTTAAGAATCAACTGACTTTTTGGCAAGAAAACTCTTTGATAAACTGACTGTAGGTGGTGAAAAGGTCACAAAGAGTTTCATATGTATCAAATATTTATTACATCTGCTGTAATGCACTGCACGTTAAATGTACAAAATATCAGGCACCTGACTGTCCCAAAAGGCTGAATGTGTTTAGGCGACTGTGCCGCCAATCTAAGCGTCATACCAAACAAAGGTAAATCTTTATCAGATTTCTCATTGTGTGGGTTTCTTGGAAAGGGTGTTTTTTAAACTGTGCTGAGCATTCACAAAATGTGAGCAGAATGGGAGGATTGGGAAAACCGCCTGTTTCTCCGATTTTGGAAGCGCTCACACAGTATTCCAAGATGTTATCCCTTTGCTAACCTTGTAGTGATGCCAGATAAAGAGGAATTAAGCTTAAATTAGTTATTTTTATTGTGTTACATACTTATAGTGGTTCATCAGCTAATTAAACTAGATATATTTTATTTGACTAACATTAATATATTAGTCTTACAGGGACACTCCACCAAATTGTATTTTGTAGCTCTGGATTGAAGATTTGAACAGACCTGGTTAACAAACTGGAGGTGTGGGGTTTAAAAGATTAACCAAGCAGGGAGGGTCTAACGAAAATAAGCTTTTGGTTGCATTATGGGAAATAACTTACATGAATAGGCCGGTCATAGTAACGGTTTGTATGATATGACGTGAACACAGCATTATTAGGCTCCTCTGACTTCTTAAAAAAGTTTGAATGAAAAACGCATTTTATTTCATGCCGCTTGGGTTTGACATAACCACACTGGGACCAAACACAGCCAGACAGAGGCCGGTTTACCGACAGGTTCAGCCCTGGCTAGTCGTGCAGCTAACGTTAGCAGCCTCAGTCCCATGGTTCCAGGAGCCAACCCGACAATTCAGCGATAGTCGCTCCCTAGCTGCCCGTTTTTACAGGACTCATGTAAATATGGGGAAGCAAATAACACTCTATTTTCTATTCCATGTGGACTTAACTAGCCATTTTTTAAATGTTGGATTTCCAACCGAGCACCAGTTACACATACACAAACTGGGAGTCCTCCAGTATAGCCATGGTCTTCCAGTAAGCACTTCCAGTGAAGCAACAAGGATATTAACAGCCTGCTCTCAACTTTCAACTCCTTATTCTTTGTATTTCCTAAGAAATGCTACAAAGTCTACAGTAATTATACAAGAGAAGTTCAAGGGATTCAAGCCACGGAGAAAAGAGTTTTCAGTGAGGTGAAAAATGTATCCACTGAATTCATTAGGCTTTAATGAAATTCACAGGACACATTTCTTCTAACATTTATTTTCCTCACATGCGAACAAAATCTAAAGTGACTCCTGAGCTCACTCAACAACTCACCAGCCTACCAATTTTTTTTTTATCTCAGAGAGGCAAGTCATTTTGAATGTTGTCCAGATGAAGACAAACAATTGAAACCATGAAATATGAAGACAGCCGCAGTCTCACATCTCTCATTATCGTACAGCCTTTTGCGTTAGCGGCCTGGGAGCCACAGCATTAGTGGCTAAGTAGCATTCCAGCTGCTTCTCCACCTTCTCAGCTTGAAATTCAATTGAAATCCACTGAGGTTTCGCATCTAAAATCAAAGGGAAGTCTTCACGCGGCGCGTACAGGGAGCGTAACCTCTGTGCTAATCTGCCATGACGTGAGCTTTGAGACAGGAACACACAGAAGGGAAAAGGGATTTAGATTTGGATGATTCAGTGAGGAATTTGTTCAGAGTGATTCTAAAGATGGGAAAAGAGTGATTATATTAGTGATTTGGTGCAAACCTTGCTCAATGGAAACCGCAGGAAAAGAGTGTTTATGTGTCATATGTGTGTGAATAGTAATCTGTAGGTGTATTTTTTGGCTTTTTTTTCTTACTACGCTCATGTCGTTGGTCACCAGTTCATGAGAAAATACACACAAGCAATAAAAAGTCATAAACAGTCAACTATTTTCTCTTTCATTCTCACTGAAAACACACAGAGGCAGCCAAGGTTAAGCACAAAACCTGACAATAGCGGGGAATTTGTCTGATGAATCACCTAAACACTCATTTCATCTGCTGTGAGAAACAGAATGATACAAAAAGACATAAAAGGAAAAATGAAAGGAGGAGAGTGAGTAAGGAGATGAGGAAAGGAATAAACAATGACTGAATGGTGATAAAAGTACAGAAATAAACAGAGAGTGAGTGGGTAATGAAAGAAAATGTAACAAAGAAAGTTGGTAGTCAGAGAAAGAGGGATTCAGAGAAACAGGAAGATGAACAAATGATAAGGGAAATGGATTATGGATGATTTGGGGGGAGGGAGAAAGTTTTTGCGAATGATGTATTAAATTGGACAACCCGAATGGAAACAGCAATATAGCAAAAGCATATTTTGTATGTCAATAAAAAAAGTTTATATCCGTTAAAACAACACAGGAGTAGAAGATGACGATGGAAGAAGCGGAGAAGATGACAAGACCAGACGAAGAGAGACAAAGTTGTCACAGAGAGGAAGGATGTAAACGGAGGTAGAGA